CCAAGTTAGTGAAGTGTCAGGGATGGTCACACACACACACACACACACACACACACACACACACACACACACACACACACACACACACACACACACACACACACACACACACACACACACACACACACAAAGATGGGCGTTGAAGTACAGGACCAATTTATAGTTATAGGTCCCACCTTAGGTCAATATGTACTTGTCACTTTGTACTGTCAATAAAAGTTATAATGAGGGAGGGGATTTCATTAAAGAATATTGAGCATTAAGTCAAAAATAAAATAAGATTGAGAAAAAGATTTTTTTTTTGTAGTTTAGCTTGTGTTATGAGGAGAAGGACACCACCTTTCAGGATGATACCCCCTTTACTGGGGTCTCTATATAAGTGTTCAATCATCTTGAGCATGATGTTATAACCATATGTAAGTATATGTTTAGATAAAAAACACCATCTTCCCTACTTCAGCTTATTTCTGTCGTATCTTTCTGATTGTTTAAGATAGATGCTCTTATTTTGATTATAAAGGGAACCATATTGAACATAGATATTTGTATAGATGGGGGGGCAATATAGATTGCATTTTCTCCAGTTAGCTATGCTTCTTTCCTTTCCTTACATTTTTGGATTTGTTGTAAAATAAAACGTTTGGTATTGTTGTTTTTATACTATATCGTAACTTTTATACCGGGAGTATATTCCATGTAATAAATGTACTGAATGTTCTAAATAAAGCTGAAAAATAGCCCAAAAACTAATGGACACAATAACTTTCTTTCCCTTTTTACTACAAGATATATGCTACAAACCAGTGGAATACCACGATCACAAAGTAAACAGCGCCATCTGCAGACACAGAAACACCACAGGAGCCAGCTCCTGTTATTGCTGTACAAGGGAACAATATATGGTTGCTTTTCAGTTCATATCGGTGGTGGAGACTCCTTGTGATCTCCCTTAAGTTTAACAGCACTACTCTGGGTCTGGTTTGAGTCCATCTCACTGTGACCTCACATGTCTGCATTGTTTGGCAGTGTAGAGACAAGTCATGGAAGTAAAGGAGTTAGAGAGGCAGTTTGAGCGTTCCTGGTAAAGGAGTTAGAGAGGCAGTTTGAGCGTTCCTGGTGGCCTCCAACACCCTGACGGGGGAAACAACTGTAGCAAAGACATTGAGTAATTCAATGGCAAACAAACAGCGTGTTTGTGAAGAGAACAACACATCCAAACCCCCCCAGGGAGGAAACTCACAGGCACACATAAGGAGGGATGACAGAGCAGGGAAACAGAAATGTGCTTACTTGTACAACCACTTATTGACACGCACAGCTGTTCATTCCTTTATACCACAATAACTTTTATTAACAGTCTACTTACGTCAACAAAAAAATCATATACACAGTCATCTAAGTGACATTATTTCATTAGAAAAAAAATAAAAAGTGCAAATATCACAGTATCCTAACATTCACTGAAATTATATTTACAGAAATATCAAATGTTTTTAGATCAGATTCTGCCATCAGGTTTGTTGAAATGACCTCAATTGAAATGCAATTAGGAAAATGTTGAAATGAAAGACTTTATAATGTTATATTTTATTTATATAATGTTTACTGAAGGTCTCAACGGGGCCTGGCAAAGTAATCTAGTATACAACATTCAGCTATGAATATGAAACGTTCTACATAATGCATATATGAAAACAAAAGACAACTCACTGAGGGTCTAATAAACATTTTTGAAAATCTAAAGTGCTAAAAAGACTTACAATTAGCTACAAACCAAATGCTTACACGGTTCAAAAACAAATAAAAAGCTTATCTAAGGTTCAAGGAGATCTTCAATAATAATAAGAAAAATAATGATATTTCTTTTGTAGACAACATAATGGAAATGAGGGCATAGACACTTGAAACATTGAGCATGCTCATGTTTCGCTGTCTGGAAAGAAAGCTTAACTTTATTACCAGTTTCAATTTCAAATCTGAAATAAATTCTTTCCCTTCTATATCTAGACCCAGTCTAGATATTTTATAAATAAAGGCTCCAGGCCTGTATTATGATTTCCTGAGTGATGTGGTCACATCTTCTCCACTGTCCACGAGAAGATGAATCAAGTCTTTTTTAACCAGTTTTGACTGCAAAGCGGATTATGTTATTTAAAAAACTTCCAGGAAGGTTGATTATATTCAGATTCTCTCCATCAGTGCAATGTATGGAAGCCCTGAGAGGCAATAAGAAGGTTAAAGTATTGGTATCCATGTCTACGTCCAACTTAAAATATTTCCTCTGCTGTGTTTACGACTTAAGAACAGGTCAAACAGGTTCTATCTGAAAACACACTTTTCTTTTACATGTGTTTAGGAAATACTCATTCTGTCCACAAGAGGCTGAAGGTAACATGTAACACATGTTCTAAGTGACTTTACATCTTTCTTAAGGAACTTGGAAAGATTATACTGGCAACAGCTTTTTTTTACTTTTCTTAGGTCCTAAACACATGAGATTTATTTTGAGATCAGCCTTAGAAAATGGATTCACCAGAATTGTCTTCTCATTTGCTGCAAAAATAAATGTACTGCAAAACAGGTCCAAACTCTTCATAAGATGACCAACGGACACAAGTGCATGCACAACAATGGTTGAATCCATTCCATCTGAGAAGCGGGTGCTCCAAAGCTGCTAATACTAGAAGAAGTGTAGGAAAGCTCGCTCACTGCTTTCTGGAGTCGCTCTTCAGTCGTGAGTTGTTAAATTTCCCACAGAACTCCAGCAGGGGAAGCAGTCAGTCTACATTGTGGCAGTCGGTGGAGGAACATTCTTTCATTTGTTTTGAAAAGGATTCTGCATTTTGGCATACAAAGCGTGACTGCTGCAGCTCTGCTCACTGTCCCTCTTGCCCTGCTCCTGGGCCTTCAGCATGTGTTGCCGGGTGGAGCCGGTGCTGCTGGTGCCCAGAGTCGAGCCTCCGCTCTCTTTCCTCAACCAGTCCAGCATGTAGAACCGCAGCATGAGGAGGAACCCTGGGAGGAGGGGGCAGAACCAGGGATCAGTCATTCATCTGTGTTCTTGATCTATTTCATCTTTTCAGCATAACTCGGCCTTTAGTGTTAGCATGTTAGCATAGAAAATGCTCTTAATGACCAAGCAATGTGCAGCAAAAATGGGGTTGTGTTGAATTATTTGGACCTGATTCAAAAACAAGTGCCCTGCATGCGAGAGGAAGCAGCTTTTCCTCTGATAGGCAGCAGTAACAGAAGGCCTTGATAAGCACGGCCATTGTCTCGTTCCCACGCTGATACAAAGGGCTACTGGCTCAAAAATATAGTCAGCAACAAAACAACCCAGATTATATCAAGTGAAACCTTCGGTGAAAGTGATATTGATAAGATCATGATTTTGTGTTTGACTGTGTTAATGCATATGCAATACATTTATTCCAGGGGCTCAAGTTCTTTTTTCAAATGTTGGAAGTTGAACCTGGGCTTCTATAATAAAGTGTTAAAGCCAAATACAGACACTCGGACGCTAAAGGACACAGATGCGCCCATATAAACACATTTACACCTCACATGCTATATGGCTTTAGATCTAGAGCCCTGGCTTCAAAGTGTCATTCTAATTATTTTCCACCAGGTTGAGCCATTTTCTTATGTTTGCCCTATAAGGCAAATATACACACTGGCCTCTAAAGGCTTCGAATGGAAATCATAACACATTATTTGGTAGGTTAGGCATAGGACTGAAGTTCGTTAAAAGATTGAGATCAGTGAAAGTGGAAAATAATGTTCATATAAACATTTCCAATTTTTTCAAAATGGACATTTTGTTCTCTTAGCACACCAGAGCATTCTTTTTAAAGATATGCACAAGGGTAACAGTCTAATAAGGTGGGTAAAAAGGCAATTATATTTCCTGTTTCGACAGTTATGTGATAGCCAAGCTCTTTATGCTATGTTAAAGGGCCCTATTATGCTAATTTTCAGGTTCATTTTTGTATATTGTGCCTCTACTGTAATATGTTAACATGCTATTTCCATCTGACTTGAACTTTGAGATGTTAGCCTTTGCGGACCATTTTCATGCACAAAAACCTCTTTAACACATTACAGTAAAGGGAAAACCCCAAAACGTATTATTTAAACTAACATATATAACTATATAACTATATATCTATCTAAATAACTAACACGGTATATCGCAAGTTCAGACCTTGTAAGGAGTTGAGGATGCAGGAAATGAAGAGCATGAAGTCAGCGAGAGGTCCAAAGTCCAGGAAGGTGAGACCCCAAGTGGTCCCAAAGAGGCAGCTGAGGCCCCAGATGCTGAGAAAAGCCTTGCGGTTCTGCCTCCATTCATCTCTGGTGCGGATCTTTCTGTAGACCATGAAGAGCATCAAAAAGCCAGAGGACACCAGGACCATCGTGACTGTCATGTTGGTGAAATAATGGGCCAGCAACGCCTTGTGGTTCTCTTTCATCCAGCACCTGGAAACACCAAAATGCACTCAGACAAGGAAAGAAAATAATCCCAAAGAGGGAGGAATCAAATCCAGGAATTATGTAATGATCGTCTTTCCCTAAAACAGAAATGTCTACATCCTCCTTCCTAAAAAATATGTTGTAACACTTTGTTATTTGCTGTGGTTGACACTATTAAAGCATTACTGCATATTTTTCTCCACAGCAAATATCTTGGTCCTACAAATGTTGCTTACATGAGATACGGGTTGTTGATGTCATCGCTCGGCGTCACCTTTTTCACTCCATAAACGTCCCCTACTGCAGCGAGGATGACTGTGGGAACAGCAGGGAGAACTGGAGAAAACAATTTCAGTTCGACCATTAGTATCATGTTTGTGCCATGATTTTACATTTCATAAATATATCTTCATGTACTCACCGAAACCGACCGTGTACCACACATAGGGCTTCGGGGAGGGGTTGAAAATGATGCAGATCAACCAGAAGGTGTGGAAAATTTCTGCACCCATCCAGGCGAAGGAGCAGAGTAGGCTGTAGTGAAGAAGCGCCCCCACCCAGACGCACACGCTCTCCCCTCCCACGTTAGCCAGGACCCCGGTGAAGAAGAAGAGCAGGTTGAGGCAGGCCAGGGACACAGCTAAGCCCAGGTGGATGTGGATAGATGCCTCCTTACATCGCTTGCTAAAGGGAGAGCGAAATAAGAGGGTTAATTGTAAGGAAAAATCTAAGTATATTTTATATAATCCCTTAAAAATAAGTAATACCTTTTCCTGGCGAGAAAAACGATTACAGCCACACAACTGATCACAGACACAGCAGAGCCCAGAGATGAAATGGCGGTCAGAGCCAGGAGGTGGCGCACTGGGCGAGGCTTTAATTGCTGTCAGGGGGAAACAAAGAAAGGAATTCATACACCAACATAACGTGTTGCTATTCCAAATGTCAGTTTCCTCAATAAGTGTTCGTATTTGTTCAAAGTGGGGTTGTATAATATGTACAGTCAGGGACGTGCACAGGTACGGGCTAATGTTGCCCGGGCAACGGCCCATTTGGCCTTTTTGGCTGACCTGCCCCTCTGGAGAGAGCGAGAGTTTGTTTTTCTGTTTTCTGTTGTGGCGGAATCATCATGATAAACCCACAATTAGTATTGTAGCGTCTCGCTGCGGGAAACACACTTTGTCAGCGTTGTCATCTGCCGGTGCGTTAAGACCACCTCAGTGTCAGATTTTGGAAACTTGATTTTGAGTTGTCTCATGGCAGTTAGGGTATAAGGGACAAACCAGGGGACTTTACTTCCTCTTGATACCGTCGGTTATTTACAAAAAACACCTAAATATAGCCTACGTCCCTCTTTTCTGATCGCCCTCTAACGGGTGAACAGTTCAATGTCCCGCTTCATTGTAGGATTTCTGCCATGTCTCTACCACTTTAGTTTGATCATCTCTGTTACTAAGTTATGGAATACTAAATAAATAAGTAATTAGATACCTTACCATTACTGCGCTCATAAAGAATGATAAGAACAAGAATAATGCGTATTGAACGGGTTTCATTAATTAGTGAGTTTATTTAGGTAATTAGTTTAGAGGCCCTATTTTATCAGTGTATGTCTGCCACAAACAGTTACAATATACTTAACAGAATTTGTCCATTTTGTCTTTATGTTACATAACATATTAGATATTTTTGATGAATATGTGCCGAGGCAACAAATGTCACCTGGTTTATAACATTTTAAATCAAGTCCACGATGCAGTAGTCGCCTTAGCTTATTTTGTGAGATAGTAGAATACTGTTCAATTTAGTTGATAGTAATCGTTTGGTTTCTTTTACATTACAAGTTACATTTTCGATCATTGATGTTTTTTATCGGGGGGAGGCCTTTTTTTAGTTTAGAGCAATAGCCCCTCGAAATGTCTGTGCACGTCCCTGTGTACAGTGTTGGGCTAACGCGTTACTGTACCACCGTTTATTTTTGGCAGTAACTAGTACTGCTAACACATTCTTTTTTAAATTCAAGTAACTCAGTTTGCCGTTAATATGGGTGCGTTACTCCGTTCATTTTTTTTTAATAATAAAGATCTCGGCATCCCAGACTTGAGATGAGGCGGCGCACGCAGGCGACCAGAAATAGAGAACTGTACTTAAAGTAGTTACTTGAAATAATGTATTTGATACTTCCTGTGTCACATGGGAGCGGACACGCTTGGGCGTGTCTGTGTGTTTACTAACAAGACTATCCATGGCGGCGAGCCGAGCTCAATCGAGTTTCTTCCGCCTGGAGATATTCTCACTATTTCACTTGTTGTGAGCACAAAGAAAAGAACGTTTTAGTTAAATGTATGTTCGTGTCTTGGCGGGTCAAAGATCCTATTTAACAAAAAAAAACCTGCCCAAAACAGCAATTCAATATCTGTTGAAATATCTGTAGAAACAACATGCTGGGACGAAGCTAAGTAGCTAAGACCACAGACCCAGACTCATCCGACGCCAACTCCACCTAAGCAACAGCCGGCTGGATTTTAACCGGGGAAAAGTTGATAAAGCTTTTGCACGGTATGTTGTAGAACACATGCGGCTATTTCTACTATTTCCTATTGCTATTTCCTTGATCAACAGATGTGATTTAATTCTCCAATGCAATAAAGTACTGAAATGAAGGCTATAAGGCAAGTTAATGGGAAGCCTTTTTTAAAGTAACTAATGCATTACTGTTTCACAGT